ACCCGATCCCATTTCATTATATCTTGTGGTAGGCGTACCACCCGATCCCATTTCATTATATCTCGTGGTAGGCGTACCACCCGATCCCATTTCATTATATCTTGTGGTAGGCGTACCACCCCCTCCCATGTACAAGCCAACAATAATCACAAGGAATCCCGGCAAGGGAACAATAATATCAACAAACATCCCGGTAAGGAAACAATAATTTTTCAACAATATCCAGGCAAGGGAGAAACAACTATAACCAAACTTGTTACAACATCTAACTACCTCAGCTATAACCAAACTTGTTACAACACCTAACTACCCAACTATAACTAAACTTGTTACAACACCTAACTACCCAGCTATGACCAAACTTGTTACAACACCTAACACAAAGAATCATCAACCTAAGCATCCGTAATATCAATTAAGAACACAATGCAAGGGAACCTCAACTCAACGATAGCCCGGCAAGGGGGCAACATAATGATCGCTTCTCTTTCTCACTTTTACTTCACAACTCAAACCAATACTCTAGAGTTTCAATTATCACTTATTCTTTCACAATTCGTTATACAACTGGAGCCAACGCTCCTCAATGTTCAGGAGTCACAATTCTTTCCACAACTTTACACAACAAATATAAATCTTCACCAAGGCATGAATAATACAACAAAGTCATGAAAATCACAATATAAGACTCACGGTCATGCTTGACACCAACGTATAGATACTCGTCATCATGCCTATACGTCGTACTCAACAAGAAGCAAATAGCAAATAGGACACAACTCCTAATCCCTCAAGCTAAGGTTAGACCAAACACTTACCTCGAACTTCCACGGCCAACTCAATCCTCAAACACCGCCTTTCCTTTCGAATTTGGCTCCAACACAATCGTATCTATACATAATCGACTTAATAACATCAATAAATGCTAAACAATCCAATTCCAATGCTTAATTATAGCTTTCTAATCATTCTTCCCAAAAATCCAAAAATCGACCCCGGGCCCGCTTGGTCAAAACACGAGGTTCGAACAAAAATCCGATCCCCCATTCACCCACGATCCCAAATATATAATTATTTCCAGATTTCGACCCCAAAACGAGGTCTAAATCACAATTAATTAAAAAGCCCTAACTCTACCCAATCCCTAATTTTCTACCCTTAATCTCATGTTTTAGGCCTAGAAATCTAGTGGGTGTTGATAAAAATGGAAGATAACAAGTTAAAAATTACTTACCCAAGAGATTATGGTAAGGAAGTGCTTCAAAAAAATCGTCTAAGAGCTTTGGAGAAGAAGAGGTTTATGAAATTTTATGAAAATCCCGCAAGCATTCTGTTTTTAAGACTTAAAAATAACTGGGCGAAATTGCCCTTCGCGTTCGCGACAGGATCATCGCGTTCGCGATGAGTCAGGCCTGAAGACCTTCGCGTTCGCGACATCGAGCTCGCGTTCGCGTAGAACAAATTCCTCACCCCTGCCTAGGCTCATTTGGCCTTCGCGTTCGCGTGGCCAGGACCGCGTTCGCGAAGGGTTAACCCCCCAACGCCTCGCGTTCGCGACCTGTGCTACGTGTTCGCATAGAAGGAATTTCCTTCATCAAAATTTAATGCATCGCGTTAGCGAGGGTTCTCCTGCGAACGCAAAGAAGGAAACATCAGAAACCCAACAGCTGAAAACCTGCAATTTTTCTTAAGTCCGAAACCTTCCAAAACACATCCGAAATACACCCGAGCCCTCGGGGCTCCTAACCAAACATACGTACTAACTCAATGCCATCATACGAACTTATCCGTGAGATCAAATCGCCAAAATAACCTCAATAACAAAGAATTAAACCTCAAAATCAAAGGTTTTTTCTCAAACTTCATAAAACATCAACTTTTGCAATTTAGGTCTGAATCACGTCAAATGACATCCGTTTTTCACCAAATTTCACAGAATCATCTTAAATCATATATAAGACCTGTACTAGGCGCCGGAACCAAAATACGGGCCCGATACCAACATGTTCTAATCAAGTTTCATTTCAAATTCCTTTAAACAATTTCAGAAAATAATTTTCTTCAAAAATTCATTTCTCGAGCTTAGGACCTCGGAATTTGATTCCGGGCATACGCCCAAGTCCTATATTTTCCTACGGACCCTCTGGAACCGTCAAATCACGGGTCCGGGTCCGTTTACCAAAAATGTTGACCGAAGTCAACTTAAATGCATTTTAAGTCAAAATTTTAATATTTCATAGATTTTTCACATAGCAGCTTTCCGGCTACACGCCTGGACTGCGCAGGCAAATCGAGGTGCAGGTAAAAGAGGTTTTTAAGGCCTCAAAATACAAAATTTAATTTAAAAGCAAGTGATGACCTTTTGGGTCATCACATTTATAAACGCTGTCTATTGCCCTCAACATTGTCTTTTGGCTTAAAAATACCTCTTAAAACTAACAGACTAATATTGTGACTTTTAATTAGTAATGTGGCAGTGGGTGATTGGTCTAGGCGTAATTCAATGTGAATTAAACTACCAAATCCTTATTTAAAGATCGATTTCTTTTTTCTTCTTCTGCTTCTTCCCTTTAAGCTAACAACTTTTGTTAACAAGAAATTCAAAATCCAAGAACACATGTTATGGTATATCTCTACAAATCTAGCAGAAAATTGACTGTAGTAGGGCCAAAAATTATTCTGCTAAAACTTCAAATTGAAAGGAGTACCGTATGTGATATTTCCAAGTTCCGTTGAAGATTAATTATAGGGGAATTTTCTTGTACAATGTAATACCCTTCGCTTAGTATTACGTCAACGTTCCAACCCTAAGTTAGATACATGGGTGTTCGAGAAGTTTTGAAGGTATATAACACCTAAATCTTATGTTTGGAAGTTTATATAGATATCTATAAGGGATGAGAAGTAGTTTGGAACAAAGCGAAAATGTTTAAGAGAAAAAGCGGAACATAGTCGCACATGACCTACTTTAAACAATTATATCTCCTAATGTATAATATTGAATTATAAATTATCTATCAAATGAAAGCTCTTTGAGTATACTTTTCAAAATTTTAAACATTTATCATTCCAACATTCTTACAAGAAGTTTGGGCTTTTTACTGAAGGGCAACAAAGCAGCAATTTGTTTCCGAAAAAATAGCCTAGCACGACGTGCCAAGCCAAATTTGGGTCAAATGGGCAAAATTTGAGTTTCTGAAAAATCCCGGGGTGCCATACTAAGGCACTTCGGGAAGAGAGAAATCCACTTATTTTTACAGTGTTTTTGAGGTTTTTGAGAGCAAGAACAACTTAGTACTTCACCAATCCACCCAGGTAAGGTTCCTACCAAAGATTCAAGCTAGAAACTTTAGATTAACATCGTTTGATACCTTCTAATTCCTAAAACCTAAGTTTTTGCCCAAGAATCAAAGAAATTGTCAAGATCCAAAACCTAGGGTTTGTGGAGGCATTGTTCAAAGTAAGTTGTTTAAATTTCTAGTATTAGAGCTGGTAAATTTATAACAGATTATGATTAGAGATTAAGAAATTTATAAGAGTATGGGTGGAGAGTTATAAAAAGCCATTAATGACCAATAATGCCTAGAATGAATTATGTGATTGAGTTAATAGATAGAATAAAGATTGTAACTACTTAATTATAGATTTTGAGGAGTCGAATTCATGAGTTCTTCGAAGGAAAAGCTGAAGCACTCCATTAGAGGTGAGTTGAGATTTCTATTTGCATTGTATATTGCTTGTTTGCTTGACTTATTTTATATATATTATATATATATATATATATATATATATATATATATTNAAGCTCTGGTCTGCTCTTTTAGGGCATCGATTTTAACTGATCCATTGCTTGTTGGCCTGCTCGTACCCGCATCTCCAGCTGAGCTCGTCTTTGCATGTGCTCCTTTAGTTCCCGTGTTCGTCATCGGCATCACCGTAGTGATTGGCTTTACCGGCGTTGTTAAGCTTGGTCTTATATTGCTTAGATCTGGCCAGCTCAGCTCGTCTTCACTTTCTAGATCCAGATCTTCATCCTCCTGCATTTTTCCTTTTGCTTTTGATGATTGCTTGTCTTGTTCCTTTGTGCTCATATCAGTTAGTTTCCTTTCTACCATCAGATTTTTGCTAGCATTCTTCCTGGGTCGTCCTCTTCCTCCCATTTCCGGCGAGGCGCAGGTTAGTTAGCACCTAACGTGCGCCGAGAGAAAAAAAGATTAAAACTAATAACTAGTGGTCCTTTTTTTGGTCATGTAGTGTAAAATTCTAGTTATGTGATTATAATGTGGCAATATTGATTTACTGTTCCACTTGTCTCAATCGAATTTAAGAATTAATCTGACAACTTCTTACAATAAATTCGGAGATAATTTACAACTAGAGGAATTATAATGTACATATCTAAAGTTTACCTAAAGATACCGGCTTAATTTATGTGATGTTGTTTTAATGGCTTTGAAATATAATAGTGAAAGAAATTTTTTTGAAATTTATGGTAAACAACAAGCCATAAATATTTGAATAGCTATAAATCGCCTCATTAAAAATAAAATAAAACGTGTAAAGTAAAACTATTTCTTAAATAAAGAGTATTATTTTTTAGGATATATTAAAATAAAAAATGTATCACATAAATTGAGATAGAAATAGTAGTAATTTTTGTCCGAAAATATGGTTTTTGTCTTTAAATTTACATGAGAGATATAACATAAAATTATCTAGGAAGTACGTAGAAGTGAAGTAGATTGAGTTGTTACAAATTTTTTACACGACACTAAATTGAAATGAGAATAGGTATACTTTTTATTTTCTAAATAGATGAAATTATAAGAAGATTGAACTAATTTTTTTTTCTTTTGACTACAATTCTTTAGATCCTTTTAATTTTATTAAAGTAGTACCTTCTCCTAATCGTTTAAAAAAAAAACCTTAATTTCGGAAATCATTTTATTACTTTTTTCTCCATGTCCTTTTTTTAAATAGCTTATTTAAAGGCACATAGGAAAAAGAATAGAATTAGAGCCCGAGGCAGAAACTGAAATTTACCCTTCTCTTCTCTTCTCCAAAATCAATTCTCCGGCGTACCAGCGAGAAACTTCGAGAAGAGAAACGGCGAGAATGGCTTCATCGTCGAGCAGCGGCTTGACATTTAAGCTCCATCCGTTAGTGATGCTCAACATATCGGATCACTACACACGTGTCAAGTCACAGTCCCAACCTCCCCCTTCTTCGCACTCCTGCTCCAACGGTTCCGGTTCTGGTGCCGATTCCCCTTCCGCTTCCGCGCCGCCTAGGGTTTTTGGTTGTGTCATCGGCGTACAGAGTGGCCGTACTGTCGAGATCTTCAACAGCTTCGAACTTCTTTATGATCCCTCTACTCACTCCCTCGACCGCGCTTTCCTCGAAAAGAAGCAAGAGCTCTGTCAGTTTGATTTCTTCTTTCTCCCTTAAATATTCATATTTAAAAGGCAAATTGTTTAGTATTAGATTGATATGGGCGTGAATACAGCATATAAATGATCCATATAGCGACTGGAATTAGTTTGGGATAGAAATTTATATGAGCTTAACTTATATACTCTGTCTGTATAACTTGTTTTGGATGTATGTTATATGCACTAACATTATAATGAATTGTTACATAATCAATGCAATTTAACCTGTAATAGCAAGTTATTGACCATTTATTGTAGGTTATCTATGATGCTATTTATAGAATTTACCTGCAGTTACTTTTAAGTGATTTGATTGTGTAAATGTTTTTACACTGTCAGTACATAGAACTTAAACTCATTTTTGTAAATCATTGTAGTAGTTTAACTTGTTGTTGCAGGTTAATTGTCTTATCTTGTGAGGTATCATGCCATGCTTAAGATAGATAATTATCAACTTTTACTTAAGATAGAAAATTATCAACTTATACTTAAGATAGACAATTGCCTGTAGTTGGTATTTAAATGACCTGATAGTGAAATTTTTATTTACATGGTATATATAACTTAAGCTTGTATGTCATAGTACTAATGTTGGGAATTTTGTGCAGATAAGAAAGTTTTCCCTAACTTTTATGTACTGGGATGGTATTCAACGGGGAGTGATGCACAAGAATCTGATATGCAGATTCACAAAGCTGTGAGTGCTTTTCATCTCCAAAAAATTGTCTTTAAGCATCCTATTGAATTTTTTGTTGGTTTTAGAATTTATTTATGCTTCTGTTCCTTTTGCTCGTTAAGTGAGTGGAGAGGGTGGGAGGGAAGGCTAACTAGTATTACAACAGAGAGGATGTGTATATGAGAAAAGGGAGAAGATGACTGTAGATTCTATAGAATGATGCTATTCAGGAGGTTAATAATGTTTAGTAGTAAAAATTGTGTATTTCAAGGAAACAAATGACTGCATTTTCAATTCACTTGTGTTAGGGTAGAGGTGAAACAAAAGGTATGTAGAAGATGGAGAATTGGGTACCTTAACAAGCATGCGCATATATATATATATATACATGTATACATAAATTACCAGAAATATTGTTGAGTCATATTCCTCTGTCTGTTCTTGTGGAAATGGTCTTAGTATCACAGTGAAGAAGGGTTGCTGACGTCTGTGTCTATAAACTTAGGATGATTTAGTACCGCAAAACTATCACAACAGGATCAGTTCATACAAGACGCCTACGCATTATACTCACTTCAGGACTACGGGGAATCATTTGTTCATATAGTATTTTTTTTAAGGAATTGTTAATTGTCATCTGTTCGTATATCTTTGAACATTAGAGTTTCATTTTTTAAATTTGCTCATATACTTTACACTCCTGGTGCCTTTCATTGGTGATTCTCGTGGTAACTAACATTCACCATAGAATCTAGTTAGTTTAGTGTGTTATAAACAGCAGGATGAAGGTTAAACTAGTCAAGGAAGAATGATTAGGATAACTAGAATTCTGGAGACTTGGCTGAAGAGTTCTATCAGCTGATTTGGCTCCCCCCCCTTTTTTTTTAAAGTCCAAAGTATAATTGTAAAAACAAGAAAAAGTTTTAAGTTGTGACTGGTGGTATTAGTCCATCAAAACTCTGAAGCAGCACTTATTTGGCTTTTATGAACTGCGCTTCATGCCAAGTGGATAAGCTAGACTTGGTCATAACAAACTGAGGCAAATTGCAGGTCATCTAATGGCATGTCAAAAGAGCTAGTTGTGTGATGTGTATGCTTCTTGCCTAAAAGATAAGTGCCATAAGTTGACTGAATGTTTGAGTTTTGTTGGGAGCTTTCCTTATTTCTGTCAAGTCGTATTTGCTCTTGGAAAACCCCCATGTCCTAATTGAAATCCTTCTAATCATTGGCATCTACCTGTTATTCTGGGATAGCTGAAGTTCTTGCCTCATTTATACTTGCTGCCATAAAAGAGAAACAGAAAAAGATGTCGATGTTTCATGGTCTCAACCATTTTTATTGGACTAGGGCTGTTGTAAATTCTCCTTTTTATTTGTGGAGGTAATTTCTTTCTTGGGGGCGGATAGGGGTATGCCATGGCAAGGTCCATGATTCAAGTATTACTTTATTTGAAGATGTTAAATTTGCTTATTATCTTTCTAATGGATCTCCTTTGTTTCCTTGGTTATTGTCCATCCATAATGAGAATATCATGTATTTGGTAATAATTAACCTGATTATCTATTCATTTGTATCAGCTGATGGATATCAATGAAAGTCCTGTGTACGTGCTTCTCAATCCTTCCATCAATCATGCTCAAAAGGACCTGCCAGTCACTATCTATGAAAGCGGTACGTATATAGTCAATATGGGCATTGCTTTATGACAAATATCTGAAATCAATGTGCCAACTTTTATTGGCAGAAGTTTGTCTTGTGACACCCTGCTAGAGTAGAATATATTCATTAACAGCATTTAGCTGCAGCCTTTTTAATTTTTCACCTCAAAGTTTTTACAAGTTTGTGGATTGGGTTCTTTTGTGGAATAGCTTCTTTTGGTTTCCTAATGTTTTTGTTTTGGAACTCTTTGTTGGTACCAAGAGTTGCATGTCATTGATGGCATCCCACAGCTTATTTTTGTCCAAGCAAGCTACCACATAGAGGTATATTCACATCAATTTCTGTTGTCATCTTGTCAACAAGTTCAATGGAACTCCTAACTAAATTGTTTTTTTCTACTTTTCAAATATCTCATTGCTTACTAGACTGTTGAAGCAGAAAGGATTTCTGTTGATCATGTTGCTCATCTTAAACCATCTGACGGAGGTTCTGCTGCTACTCAGCGTGAGCACCTTTAACTTCTGTGTATTTGCATTTCCAAGCTTACAGAAGTGCTTATGAAAACTAGAATCGTTTGCTATTTTATCTTCTTCACTTTCCCCAGCTGTTTTATTAGCAGAGCTTGTCTAGGACTCATGAGCTCGGTTTTTGCAGTGGCTGCCCACCTTACTGGCATACATAGTGCCATTAAGATGCTGAATAGCAGAATCAAAGTGCTACATCACTATCTGCTTGCTATGCAAAAAGGTATGTAGAACTTGTTGGGACCTGAAGTTACATCTAAATTGACTGTGAAGGAGAAGTGCTTCAACTGAGTGACTTGCCTAATCCTGATAAAATTTTATTATACAACCTGAATACATGTTAAGTTTGCCATAGAAGGACAGGGTGAGCGCAAATGCTTAATAGCCTTAGAAATTGTATGAGCAAAGGAGATTGTTTTTTTCCTTGACATTTCTGCTCCGCAAATGTTAGCTTCATGAGTTTCTTCAAATATCTGCATGAAATAGGAGATGATTTTATTTCATAGGGCAAGGATGTTGATGTTGTAGTTGCTGTGGATGCAGGTGATATCCCTTGTGAGAATTCACTTCTAAGGCAGGTGTCTAGTCTCTTAAGAAGATTACCAGCTATCGACTCAGAGAAATTTAAAGATGATTTCTTGATGGTGAGTGTTTCTCGAGCTTATTCAGTGGAGTTGCAGATATATACATGTGTGTGTTTGTGTGCGTACCGCCGTACCCTCTCTAGATTTTACCGAGTATCTTCTTATTGGTTCCCTGTTAAAAGACCTTCATGATCTTCAAATAGTTATTACTAGTTTGAGTATTGACTGCGAATTGTTTATTGGAGTTCTTATATTTGTTGTAGTAGTGCACCCACTGTAGTTTGATTGCATTCTGATTCTATCATTATATTTTGTTCTTTTTTTTGGTGCAGGAGTATAATGACACATTATTAGTTAGTTATCTCGCCATGTTCACCAACTGCTCAAGGTATGATATTTGAGGCTTCTATGATAAGTTCTCTTACGATTGGTGAAAGTAGCTCAACTCTTTTTATATTAACTATATTTCATTCCTCTTTTCTCCTTTCTCATTTTCATTCTAGAAATATTTTCCAGTGTAATGTAGTTTTTAGGACTAAAGTGGATTAATTTTTTTTAATAACAATATAATAATAATAATAATATTGATAATATTAATATTAATAGTGATAATGACAATGACAATAACAATAGAGAAGAATAGAATTCTTCAGAGGTAGTAGTTATCTTTACCTGATTAAAAGAAAATAATAAAATTAACCATGAGATCTCAAGTTCAAATCCTGGCGAAGGCAAAAATACTAGGTGATATCTTCCCATTTGTCCAAGCGAGTTACCCGTTACTCATGTTGGTGGGTGGTAGCAGGTAACTCGTAGAATTAGTTGAGGTGCGCACAAAGCTGGTCCGGACACCATGATTATTAAGAAAAAGAATAATTCATCTGAGGTAGTTAATTGTGGCTGCTGGATAACGGAGAGGTATGAAGCAGGAGTGATGCAGATACACCTATGAGCTTTCCTCCTCTTCGGATAGTTTATGTTCATAATTTAGGATTTTTGAGGAGACTACTAAATTGATGAAGTCAGTCGGCCGCTTCATCTCTCAAATAAGCTCTTCAATCATGTGCAGACTGTTTATTAGTAAAACGTCATCTGCAATTTATTTAGTATTAAAATAGGTCAATAAGCCTGGAATAGTGCAAGCTGGTAAAGAAGTTCTAACAAGTTATTACCATAGATTTTAAGTGCAAGCAGGTGACGCAGTTGCCTTCGTCAGCCATATTTAAAGTATCTAAGATTTTTTTAAATTTTCTTTGGTGGTTGCAGCACAATGAACGAGCTTGTTGACAAATTCAACACTGCATATGACAGGCATAGCAGGAGGGGTGGGCGAACTGCTTTTATTTGAAAAGTTTATATATTGCGAAGATTGCCTTTTTGCTCTTATCGAGTTTCCTCTGTAGCAGTAGCTACACAGCTACATGTTTTGCGAGTTTAGGGATCACATGTTTGGGATATAGGAATCAAAGTAGTGAGTTTGCTTTTCTTTTGCCTTTCTTCATTCTTAGTTGCCCTTATATTATAACTTGATTCTTATGGCACCATTATATACGTGGGAGAAAGTGGTAGAGGATTTTGGCTTCAAAAGCTTTTAATCGGTATGTTTGGGCTTGTTGTTGCCCGATTGGGGAGAAATTCAAAAATAGAAAGATTTACAAGTGGTCATTTAAAAATAGCCACAATTTCAAAAGTAATCGAAATTCAGCGACTTTTCATGTAAAAATAAATCTGAACGAAAACACTGTTCAAAATCCGAAAAAATATTTCAGTATAATACACTGAATTCCAGTATAATATACTGGAGTTCCAGTGTAATATACCGGTCCAGCATAATATACTGGAATTTTTCGCATGCTGGAAGTTCATACACAAGGGTACCGATTTCCCGTATATTATGCTGGAACTTTTCGTGCTGTAGCAAAATAGTGGTTTTTTTCTAATGACTTTGCAAACGCTGGTTATTTTTGAATGACCACTTCGAAAATTGGCTAGCCCGTGCTATTTTAACGCCCGATAGCAGTAATGTTATACAAGTACTAGTTTAATTTGAGATTCTTGGCATGTGTTCTTCCTTTCCCACAACCAAAACCCTTTTAATGCCAAGTTAATCTTCATTAAAATTCCTTTCAAGTGGTCAATTTTTCTTTTTCTGTTGAAATAAATTTCTGTTTGATTTATGCAAACATTGTTATAAAGTTGCCTTATCTTATGGAGTATGAGTTCTTAAAATCTTACAAGTTTACTTGAAATGCAAAAAATACATTGCTTTATAGCCTATTTGGCCAAGCTTTTTTTTAGCCAAAAGTGTTTTTTTTTTTTTGCCAAAAGCACTTTTGGCAAAAAATTGAGGTGTTTGGCCAAGCTTTTGGAAGGAAAAAAAGTACTTTTGAGGAGAAGCAGAAGCAGAAAAAAGTAGCTTCTCTCCAAAAGCACTTTTGAGAAAAATACACTTAGAAGCAGTTTTTTAAAGATTGGCCAAACACTAATTGCTGCTCAAAAGTGCTTTTCAAACTAATTAGCTAAACACAAACTGCTTCTCACTAAAAGTACTTTTGAGAAAAATACTTTTGAAAAAAAACACTTCTCAAAATAAGATGATTTTTGCAGCTTGGCCAAACGGGCTATTAACCTTGTTAATCATTCCATCTTTTTTTAGTGGCCGGTGATGACAAAGAACCCATTTGTTTTTCTGTTGTAGATGAAACTCATTGCGATCAATGATGATGTTTCATACGACAGACTGCAAATAAACCTACGCATTTCTCGTGAAAATGGTGAGAGATCTTTTTTAACAACATGATATTCGTTGCAATATAAAGGCTTATACAACAGAGAACGATAAAGCAAGATAATCAGAACATTACAACTTAGGCTGCAAATCTATGGAGCACTATAGAAGTACGAAGTCTCTTAGCGAAATGTTGTTCACCTTTTTTATTCTTTAAAAGTACATTTCACACTAGACAAAAGAATCATTTAATTTTATTTCAATAATTAGATTCTGAAATCAACCAAAATTTGATTATTAACCCTTTTCTTATTTGAACTATGTAAATAGTACTAAAATATAGGACTTTAAAATTTATTTAAAAAATTCTTATATAAATAATTTTTTTATTTAAATTATTGACGTAAAGTTAGAAAGAATCCACCGTCAAACCACCATGATTCACGTGGTTTAGATTGGAAGGTAAAGGATTTCTTGTCGTAGTTCAAAATCAAGTTTGAAATGGTTCAAGTTGTACAAGTATTATAGAATGTTAAGAGTTATACTAAACCTAGGAGAAAAACACTTATACTAATACTGCAACTCTTTTTTATGTACAGAACGTAAGAAAAATATTCTTATGTTCAAAACTTGTGTGTCCCTATTTTCTCTGCGAAGTTATGAGTTTCTTCAATAATTATAATTTCTTTTATGTGTGTTGTGGATATACACATGAGTTTCCTGCAGCCAGGATATGGTGATGTATTTCAAAAGTTATTCATTCGCAGAAACTATAACATACAATTACTTATGTACAGATTCCTTTTTTTAGGGACTCAATGAATGAAACGTAAAGATACACTAATTACTTCAAATAAACTTGTGGATTTGATTTTTGCATGAAATAGCTGTCGTTTTTCTTCACAATGTGCTCCTTTAGATTTTTGCTGATGTGGTCATGTTGGTGGAGAGTTGTTGGCAAGTGATTTAAAAATATGTGTAATGTACTGCCAATAGAAATTTGTTCCTATGACCTTGCAGATATGAATAATTATTTCGTCCAAGGTCAGACGCATTCCTTTTCTCCTTATGGATCAAAATTTTCAATTGTCTTTTACATATATTTTATTATTTTGAAAAATTCTCTATGCATATAGTCTTTCTTTTTATACGATTACAAGGTGCAGGTGAAAGAAAAAAATATGACGAAAAGTGGGTGATTCCATTACGCATAAATGGCCGGTAATGATTAAATAAAATAGACTTACAATTTTAATCTCCATTGAAGATAATTTATCAATGTTAATAAGATATTTCAATATCAAATAACTCTCGGTAATTATTGAAGAATAATTCTATCATAAAATAAACATATTTCTCCAAATTGATACTTTTTAGCATTAAAAAATAGATTTTACATTAAAAGTTATTATATAATTATTTTCCTAATATATTGAAGAGTTAAAGAAAGAACTACTAATATTTAGGCTCAATGAACAAGAAAATCGTGATCCCTACTTTTCTGATTCTTTTAATATATTTAATTTTTTATAACTCAAGTACATTTTTAATAATGTGTTTGTGTGATTTAATTTTTTTTAATAATTATTGGTATAAGGTACACGTGCACAGGCGTACCCTAAGACTAGTAAGGCTAAAATAAGCATAACCAAGTCTAGCTCAAGCACAAGTACAGACGCAAAAGTGTGGTTGCAGCCTTGTAGGCTATATGCAACGTGCATCAAAAGTGAAGCTGTATTTTAGAAAAACTGAAGTACAAAGTAGAAAACAAAACTCGGCCAACTTGTGCTACCCAACTATAGGCGGTGCCTAATTGAGATGTTAAAACAGTGTAAAGAAAAGCTAGGTGGTGTCAGCTCTTGAGAAAGCAAAGATGGAAGTCTATCTTGATTTAAACAGTTTCTTCTTTCAGACAGGTCTCCTGTCCACTAATGCATAATTTAGTAGCCATTTGATTTGTGAAATTGCCAACCGTCGTGGCACCCCAATTCACAGCCATCAAAACACACGACCAGCCAGGGTCGCTCATTGCATATTGTGGAGAAATTGCCTCTTTTATTGACTAAGAGAGTAGATCCAACGCCAAGCCAGCGCAAACCACGGAACGGAGACTTATCCAGAAGTAGCATTATCAAATCATCAGACAGACTTCGACAGTTATAAAGATCAAGTCTTTGCAGTAGACAACTCTTGTGGTTTGGTCTATCCACCAACATCTTCATTGCAGCATCAGTCACATGGAAGCAGTACCTTAGACATAAATCGGTTAATGCTTTGGCAGCAGATGAAATGGTAAAAATGGCTGCATCAGATATTCCGGGCATTTGACCAACGTCCAATGATGATAATGTTTTGCAGATTTTCCGCTCTCCATGAAATAAAAATCCGATTCCCCTGTCAGTTACTCTCTTGCAGCCTCTGATGCACAACTGTGCAATGGGTAAGTCTCCTCTACCAAGAATAGCAAGACCACTGTCAGTAATATCAGCTTCTGCTAAGTTTAGTGTCCTGAGTGTAGTAAGACCTGATATGTAGCTGAGACAGGGGTCAGAAATGCTTCTGCACCCACTTGTGTCAAGTAGCTCCAAGTTACTAAATGAGGATAATTCCTCCATAGCTTCACTGGTTAGAAGCCTGCACGATAACAACCTTAATTCAACTAGGGACCTTGCAACTCCCCTCATATCATGGAACGCCAAGTCTGACAATAGAGATGAATTCAGCACTTCAAATTTCTTCAGCTTCTGGCATGAGTGCAGAATTGATGAAAAGCCAGCTTCAGTAACCTTTGTGAACCCACCTAGTTTCACTGATTCCAGTCCTCCACAAGCTTCAGAAAGAAGGAACATGCCCAAATTGTCCACTCTCTTAAACGAAGCGGGATAATATATTCTACTTCGAACAATTGAGAGGGTAACTAGATGCTGGCAAACCTCCAAACTTTGTAGTCCAGTGTTGGTCAAGTCCAACTGCATCGATGGCTCAGTGAGAGGTCTATCTTCAAGATCAAGCTCTACCAAAAGCGGAAGGGAATTCACAACTGTGATGAAAAGGTTATCTGATATAATGTCCAAGACAAGAGATAAGCTTTGCAAATTGAACCAAGGGACACCTCTGAGCTTATCTATCCAGTGGATAGAGAAGTGTTCAGCTGTTGGCTGTAACTTTAAATTCTTGACACTCTTGGGCAGAAATAGTTCAAGAGATTGTAAATCAAAAACATCAAGTATGGTCCCTCGGATTTTTATGGACAGGGTCTGCAGGAAACAGAAGAGCTCATAAGGTTGACCAACAAAGGAAAATCTCTTAGTTCTATGAGTAATAAGTTTGAAGAGGCATCATGGGACAATTTGAATAAGGGAGGAAAAATTGTTATACATGAGAATACTTTACCTCCAACAAGGAAATCTTTTGGAGCATTTCTATAAGCTTTGTTTTGAAAAGTTCTGGTAATACATGCCCAGCGAATTCTATAAGGAAGAACCTGTTTCAGAAAGAAAAAGGACGTACATTGGAAAACAAAACCAAGGTGAAGTCACATAGTACACAAGCAACATTTTGTTGGTGTAAGCACAATGGACTTCCAATTATCTTGACAGTTCCATCTTTTGAAGATAATGGTACAGAATGGAGTTAATAAATGCCAAGTTCAAAAGCTCAAAGTTCAGTTTTCTATACCAGATAGCCTAAGAAAGATCGTCGAAGGTCAATGAAAAATATTTTAATTAAAAATTAGCAGATAAATGAATTGGTTCAAAAATATACTTGTACGCCATAAGTTATTTAAGTTAGCAAATCTGCTTCTGGAAGCTGAAATGTAATGTCTCAAGTGAACTATTACAACTAAATAAAATTCATTGATGCAGA